CGGCTCAAATTAACAGAAGGATTAACGGAGTGCATTTTGTATAGTTGAGGGATCAAAAAAGTGCAAAAAATTGTTGAAGGACCAAAAATGTGCAACTCACTAAAGTTGAGGGACCAAATTTAGCATTTAACCTTTTTTTTACCCGTACTCAATGATTGCTTACACTAATTTTTTTTACTAATATAAAATTGGTCAAGGGTTATTTGTGAATTTTATTACTTGAAGCTAATTAATTTAAATATATGTTGGCAAACCGTTTCAAGCACTGCGCCCATGGCCTAATGGATAAGGCGCCTGACTTCTAATCAGGCGATTGTGGGTTCGAGTCCCACTGGGCGTGAAAGTTTTGTAATATATATATATTTTTGCGGATCCAATTCCGAGATAAATAACAGAAGAATAGCTGGGAGAGTCTCGTACATAAAAGTCATACTAAACGAAATCTCCCTCACCGCCGATAGCTTCTGCAGACGACCAAAAGCCACCGCCATGGAGATTGTCGGAAATCTTACTTCAGACCAACTCCACTTCTTTAATTCCCAAGGTCAGACACCCGCCTCCACCACCACCACCACCATCGATTTCTACCAATAACATGGGGCCTTATTCCTCTGGAACTATTGTTTTCTAATCCATGTGGTGTACTCTTGTTTCAGGCTATCTTGTGATCGAACCTTTCGCCAGCCCTGAAGAGATTGACGCTCTGCGGAAGAGAATGGAGCAACTGCTTCAAGGCTTTGACCCCTCTTCCACCGCCTCAATTTTCTCCACCAAAAACCAGGTTTTGTCCTAATTTACCCTGCCTTTTCTGTTCATCTAAAGCATAACAGTAACCTGATTCAGCTTCATTTTCCTGTAAAGTCAAACTAAATCGTTATCTCTTGATGGGCATTTTGTAGCTAAAGCTGACCAATGAATACTTTTACGAAAGTGCTGAAAAGATTTCATTTTTCTTCGAAGGTGTGCAGAATTATTGTTTATTGCTTTCAATTTCACTTTTCCTTTAATTGGTTTTATTCTGTTGATATCCACGGATTGCTTTTCAATTTCCATTTTTTTGGAAATGTATGAAGTGCTTTTTGGTGCTTTCTAAAGTGTGCTGTTAGTTTTCATTGCTAAGTTTTGGTGCTTTTTCTTTTTTTACTTTGGCAGAAAAAGCGTTTGGAGATGATGGGAAATTGAAGCAATCAAAGGAACTCTCTATCAATAAAGTTGGGCATGGTATGGTTTGAAAGGCATCGTTTCTTTTGTTTGTGTCCTTTATTGTCATGATAAGCTTATGCTGACTAGTGGATGTTGTTTGTGGGTGCCATGATATAGATTTCTAATCACACTTCAATTGAATTTAATCTTACAATTAATATTTTTTATACAGCATTACATGAACTTGACCCAGTTTTCAAAGAATTCACTTGCTCTGAAAAATTTTCAAGTTTGCTGTTCTCCTTTGGTTATAAGAGGCCAGCGATCATGCAGTCCATGTATATCTTTAAGGTATTTTATATATGTGTGTGTGTGTGTGTGTGTCTATATATATATATATCAGAAATAATGTTCTCTATAATGTTCTGTGGCATTTTAAATTTGATGATAAAAGCTCTTTCTTATGTCTATCTGTCTCCTTTTAACTCTTGAATTCAGTAGCTGAATTTCTAATGGTTATAAGGATGAATACAAGGGTCAAATATATAAAATAATGAAGGGAACCAACTATAAATTAATGTATATTTATGTGTTTCTCATGGTTTTCTCATTTAATTTCCATCTTATATATTCTTTTATACAAATTACAATCAAAGGGAAGGGCAGAAGTGTTGTAGAGTAGCCTCCTTCATATATTTACAAAAAGGTTGCTCCACTAAGACTAAAGAAGAAAAGGAGATATAGAATAAAAGCATGAAGTTTATAGGAAGTACCCAAAATTGCTTCACTATTCACTATTTCTATCCCGAAAACTTTAGTTTTGCCCTTTCTATTTTTCATTTCTTGAACTTCTTAACTCAGGATGATCCATGTGAGTACCACCTCACTTTAGGTTTCAGACAGGTGTAGTTTTTCTCAGCACGTACAGACAGGTGGAATTGTAGATATTTGTTCATTTGCTTTCAGGGCTTCAAAATTCTGGTTCTAGATCTTTGGTTAACTTAAGATGGTTCTTTACGTATATTATCTGACCTTCTGGTTTTTTGTCATTTTAATTTCTGATCATTTTATATTTTATTAAGGTACTTTTTTAAGGTGGATCTTCTGTGGTAGTAAAGTTAGTAACATTCTCAGGGAAGAATTGAAAAGACTCTTAATTGTTGTTTTCATTTTCCTGATGGAATTATAGTGATCTGATAAAGAATTCTTTTATTGGTAACTTTGAACTTTTATCCCTAAATGTCTGATTCAATCTTTGTAACAATGTTTAGAGAAGAACCATGGATCATGATCTTATTCCTATGTTTTGGGTATTTGTTATGGCTTCATTATCTAATTCCAAACTTCAAGTACCATGCACTTTCATAATTGGTGGCTATCTGATGCCCTGATACTGCTTTTATGGTTTTTGGTTGGGAAACTGGAACCCATTTTGACATGATTGAATGTTATTGCTGTTTAAGCAATTAGCAGTTACTGTATTATTTTCTTGTTGCTATATTAGTATTAGGGTTTTTCTAATGTATGCCCTTAGTGGTGTAATAAATACACCATTTCGTCATAAATTTGTATTGAAAAGGCAAAAATTAACCTTTAATTTATCAACTGTCCAATTAAATTCATCCACTTGGCACCAACACTAAAATTAATGTTAGCTTTTACATTTTGCTATATACATTTATGACAAAAAGGTGCCCTTAGGGCACAGTTTAGAAAAACCCTTAATATTAATAATGACTTAGTGATATTAACTTAGAGATGGGTTATGATTGCAAAACCGAAATGTTATATCAGGAACTTTACATTATTAATTATCCTGGATTGGTAATTTCATCTTGATCGTTTATTCCTTATGCATACTTGTTATCACATTCTCACTTTATATGGATATTCTAATTTCTGAGATTCTAATTCACAGCAACCAGGTATTGGGGGTGAAGTATTGCCACACCAGGATAACTCATTTCTTTTTACTGACCCACCAACTTGCAAGGGCCTTTGGTTGGCTTTAGAAGATGCAACAATCACTAATGGTTGCCTATGGGCCATTCCTGGTTCCCATAAACGTAGTTTTCCTACTTCCAGATGCTATATTTCCTTTCTTCCTCAACCTAAAAGATCTAGCAAAAGCTGACTAGTATGAACTTGCACTTTGGTGTTGTTTCCAGATGGGCTTGTTAGAAGGTTCATTAGGGGTGAACAGGGAGTCTCCTTTGATCGTCCTTCTCCATCCTATGACCAGAAAGATTTTGTGCCTATTGAAATGAAAGCTGGGTCTTTGATTGTAATTCACGGTGATCTTATTCATCAAAGGTGAGTTAAAAGAAGTTTCCTGAAACTAATTTAACTTAGTGGCCTAAGAATTCACTCTTTCCTTTATTTCATATTATGAATTGTAGTTTTGAAAATCATTCCCCAAAATCAAGGCATGCCTATAGCTTGCATGTTGTGGATACTGATGGCTGCAAGTGGCTGGAAGACAATTGGTGAGTTAGTTCATGTCCACTTATTTATTTATTTATTTTTATCGTTTCTTTACTTTCAGTGTTCATTATATTGTTCTCGATCCATAATTTCCTTCTGCTATACATTGTGTTTTACATTAGCATTTTGAAGTGCTAATGAGGAACCATTCTATCCTTCTCTGGTAACTTTCTTTATGAATCTCATATAGCTTACATAATGCACCCAATCCAAATATCTCCATTTTTGCCTGACTGTTTATTCTACCACTAGCAATAAACTGATTGCTAGCCCTCAAAGTCTTGAACTCCACTGTTGAATGTTAGTTAACTTTGAAGAATGATTAGGTCTATTTGCTTAGTGCTTATATTTTGTCCTTTTTTTGCCCCCTTCAGGATCAGAAGAAAATTAGAGCCAGAGCCTTTGTATGTGACTTGATCAAGCCTGATGTTAAATCTGGTACCTGCAGCAGTCTACTGTAGTATTGTGGGTATCTCAACTGTCAAGCAAATTCATTGATACTCAGTCGCAGCTTTTATGGTCAAATGTGTACGATAGGATTTGTGCCATAGATTAATAATAGAATAAGTGGAATGGTTGAGCATGATAGTTCCTTTATTTCCGTTATTCCATCGTCTTGTTGATTAACGATCATTTGTGTGGTTTGTTTTGCATAATGCAACATTCACGTCCTTGTCCATTATGATTTCAAATGAATGCATGCTACTTTTTAGCAAAAGGAATGGTCATCTAAGCCTTACGAACTGTAACTCTCAAAGAAACCCCATCTGACAACTTTTCTTCCTTTCATAAGTTGGTTGCAATAATTTGTTTCAGCTATAATTGGAAGATGAACCATGGTTGATGGCTAAGAACTGTTACTTTTCATGAGTGAATATGGATGGAACAAGTGAAACGGTAAACGCAGCCCAATGTGACAAAACCTGGATTTCAGTACCCTCTGGAGATTATTATGAGGAGGCAATAATTGCATGGAGCGTATGCATCTTGAATGAAACATTGTAGCTGTTCATGTTTGTGATGGGGTTCATTTTTGTAGGGGAACCAAACCAAAAACCAAGTGTTAGTCTGAAGTAGTTTAATGATGCGGGATTTTAGTTGTCTTATTGAGACAGTGCCAGACCAGAGGGGAGTACGTAGTTTGGCAGCCTCCCATTTTTGGCCAAAGGGCAATTAATGCAGGCTGCATCCAGGGATTTTTCACTAGATCACGGTCGGCTTCCTCGGCAATCCGCGCACCTTGATTCACCATTACTCTGCACTGTTTGCTCTGCATTTTCATGGTGCACCAGAAATTCAGTGATAAGAGCACTGCAAAAGTTTCAGTGATATATCTCTTCTCTCCACCTTTCTTATATATGGTGAAGGGTCTGATTGTGCAAAAGTTTTTGGGAAAATGTTTTCCCATTTTGTTGTGTGTTTGTTTAAGAATTTGTGATGAATGTCCGGCTGGTTCACAAGTGAAAAAGGACGAACAAAATGTCTTACAGCTGGTCCATGATTTTTTGGTCAATGGTCTATCCTTCGTATCTTCAGGATTAAGAATGTGAGAATATTAACTATCAAGCCGTTGGGGTTGGTTTAAATAGTAAAATTTGAAACTTATAAAATGTAAAGTTGGAATCCTTCCAATTGCTATTTGGGTGTAACAACAGTAACCTTTAACCCTTGCTACTAGATTTGCCACGAGACATAGGATCAGTTGGGTTATAATTCTAAATATCTATATAAGATTAGTTTAGTGTACGATTGTTTTCTCAAAATTTTTTTTAGAGGATTTATTTGAAAACACATATTCTAATTAATATCTTTTATAAATTAACTATTTGATTAAAAATTTTATTTATATAACTCATGTATGGGATTTTTTATATTAATCAAACATTTATAATTTTTTTATAAAAGAAACTTTATTTATTAATATATATTTAATGACATTAAATTTTATATAATTAAAAAACTAATTAAGTCTATTAAATCAATATAAAAATTTACATATATAATTTATATAAATAAAATTTTTAATTTAATAATTAATTTTTTAAAATATTAATTTAAAAATAAAATTTTTAAACAAGTTCTCTAAAAAAAAATCTTTGAAAAGTCGATTGGAGAGTTAACATGTAAAATACTTTTTCCTATATACAGTAAAAAAATTTTAATTAACAATTTACTGGGCTATCGCTTCCTTTCAAAATGGTTGAGTGCATTAAAAAATGAACCAATAATTTCCTGGTCAGAGTGATTCATTCCTATTTGAAGTTATAGGTTGGCTTCAAGCTATACTCATGCAGACGTGGAAGGGTAAAGAAAGAGATTTGAGTTTTATGTGTTCACGTGATGGGTTGTTGTTAGTATGTAAGAAGTCCGACATCGATGAGTGTATAAGGTTTATATATGTGTTGTCATTGCCGGTGTAGATAAATATTGTGACATTTTTTTTTTTTTGGAAAATATTGTGACATTATCGAAAACTAAAACTTGATGATGAGTAAATATTGAGACAACAAAACCGTATTTTTTAGATCAAATTATGTATTAAAAACGTAATTATGATATTAAGATTATTAAAATATTTTTAATGAATATATTAATAATTTTAGTAGAAAGACTTGACTTTTAATGTGCAATTAAGATTAAAATATATAAAAAAAACCTCTTTGAGGATTTGAATATCAATGACTAAGTTAATGTTAAGGTATAAGAATTCAATTAAAAAGTGGAAAGCCTAAGGGTAAAAATGATTTTGCCTAGAATTGGAGCGGCAAACACAGTTTCTGTATTGTGTATTATCGTTGCTAATGGAATTAATTGTCTGGAATCTTTAGGAATTGAATATACATATGAAAAACCAAAATTTTCCCTGACATATCCTCTGAGACCGCCATTGATATTCACTCCAAATTTTAGGTCATTTCACCATCAACTCCAAAATTTAGGTCATTTCACCATCAAGTTCTTCCTCGTTCCTACATCTCCATTGCCTCTCCATCTCTCCCTCTCAACATATAGACAAAACTGTCAACACAAATTATCTCCATTTTATACTCATAAAGAAAACGATGGAACCCTACCTTGGATTAACCACATGGTCCAAATGCATTTTAAGGCAACCTCTTACCTTCCCATGCACACATAACACTTGCTGTTCATTATCCTACTTGTACCATGCATGACACAAACACTACTTTCCTACAAAAAGACAAGCTAAAATGTATTAACTTCCTTTGCAGAAATAGAAATCTTGTAATAAATTCCACTGCATCGATTAATTCTAACCACAGGCTACCTAGCGCTGCTTCCTCTGCTACTTTCTTTAGTTCTTGAGAGGGAGGAACTCAATATACTGGTTTGGGGTGAAGTTGGTGTGGCGATTTATGGTTGTGATGTGAAATTGGGTGTCTAGTTTCTTCCCAAAGTTAATGCCGGTTTGATCACGTATGCTGCTTTGAAGAGGAAACAGCTCCAGGGTCTGATCTTCTCTGTTTTCTTCTTCAAGATTGGTAAAGTTCTCGTGGATGGACTTAGGTGAAGAATTTAGAAGGTCTAATGGAGTTGTGTTGATGAGGTTTATGAAGGAAATAGGAGAATAAGACAAATTATATTCTAGGGTTTGCTTTCTCTTCTGATGTAATTCCCTCTCCTGCAATGGTATCCACCCATTTGGTCCACTTTCTGCAGTTGCTGCTGTAGATCCCTGCATTTGAACGAGATTCCTAAGATAAAATTAGGGGGATCAATGTGATTTCTATATAAAATAAAGACATTAAATTATTATACTGGAGTAAAATCATACCAAAGTCCAAAAAAAATTCAGAGCCATTTCATTACAACAGCCCCAACAGAAAGTAAGGATTGCAGCTTTTGCACCTCTTCTTTTTCCAACATGTAAACAAAAGCTTTTTGGTTTTCTTCTTTTCTTTACACTGACTTTCCTTTTGAACCCCATGACTTTTTTTTACACAAATCCAAGTAATTAGGGCTGGCTTATTTTTATATATATGGCTTAATTATAATTTTCTTTTAGGAAATTAAATATATTTTTTATGCATATCATCTGCATTAAGATTAAAAAATTCACAAAAAGTTTCCTCTTTTTTATAAAATTGAAAAGGTAACAAAAAAATTCTATTGCCAATCAAACAAACAAAAACCCTTAATTGGGTTCAAAGATTTCATTTCAATTAGAGATTTGAAGATTATGATATGGTTAATTAATATATACAGTGAACAAAAGACAAAAAAAATGTCATATACAGACCTCTGAATGTCTAGTGCTGTTCGAAGGAGGTCCCCTGGTCTTTGTCTCTTCAGCTTCATAACCTGTCCTTCTCAACCCTACTTGCAATAAAACACCGAGAAATTAAATTCCATTTTTCTTCAATTATATGAACTCGAACCAGTACATAATTAAAATACTGAAACAACAAAAATTAAATTATGTTAATCTCCATTTTTTTTTTGGGGAAAATTAAAGCATTTAAAATAAACAGCACTATGTATAAGACCATCTTAAAGATTTTCTAATAAAACTTGAGATTTTTAATTGAAAGTTTTCGAATCTAAATCTAGGGATTATCATTATTATATAACTTGCACTCGGAATATGGGTATGCATATATGAGAATGTGGGGTTGTTGTACCTGTTTCTCTCTTTCCCAAGGTTTCATCATGAACATCACGTTGTTCTTCTGCTTCCTCATCTTTAGAAGCAGTTTCTAATACTCCACGGCGGCGTTTCTGCCTTTCTCTTGCCTTGTGGTTTTGAAACCAGTAGAAGACATTCTTCCCTTCAATCTTCCCAAACCTACGTAGCCGCGCGGCAATCGTCTGGATTTGTGTGGCAGTCGGCGTCCGCAGTCCAAGTCGGTAGAGTTCCTCCAGTGCCAACAGCTGCTCCGGCGTCGGATTCCAACGCGAACTCGACGAGGGTTGGTCGCCATTACTTTGTCCATCAAAGTTGGAACAAGGAGGGGTTGTCATGGGAAAAGAGAAAGTGTTGGTTTTGGGGATTAAAGGTGAAAACTTTGAAGTAGTGTTGAAGGATTGAGACATGGTGGGAGGCAATAACAGCGATGGTGTGGTGAGGTTGAAGAAGGGTGAAGGGTTTGTTAATGGAGATTCAAAATAGGGTGGGAGAGAGGAGTAGAAATAGTAGCTTTAAATAGAGTAGCAGTTTCTCTTTCTCTCACACATAGAGACACGAGAAAATGAAAGGATGAGGAATGAAATAAAGTAAATGGTTTTCAAGTAAAACCGACGCATGAAAGTGAAAAAGAGAGGCAACATATGCAGGGTGAGAATTTTGACCCTGTGATTCTCATAATCCTTGGACTTTGTTTTTAGAAGAGAATTCTAATTTTAGGTTCGGTATGTACCAAATTATAATATTATAGTATTTAATTGAAATAAACATATATCTTAATTATTTATGTAATATAAAATAATGAATTAGAATAAGTTTTTATAACAATTATACTATGTAGAGAGAGGGATTGCTCTCTAATGTCTTAAATTATTGAATTTTTTTGTCCAAATTAACCCAGAACTTTTATGTGATTAAAATTTCATATTTTATTTATAGTTGATTTTGATTTCTAGTACAAAGAGAATGAAATTGTGAAATGTTAATATGCTACCGAAAAAAGATGTGACCACAGGATGACTAGTCTTGTTAGCCTTAATAAGGCAGTGTGCAGCTTAAGTTTGTTTGATATTTCGACTACAATTTGCACTGTGTGGTACTTTTCACAATAAATCCAAACTGTCTCTCTTTTCTCTGAAAAAGGTTAATCCAAACGGTTCCTTCCTCCTCGATGCCTTGTGAATTTATGCTTAGCTGCACAAATTAAAATGTAGGCGTGCACCAATTATTAGATAATTGGCATCCAACCTTTTTCATTAATGTTAGCCGTCTAATCAGCTTTTGCAATCCACCGTCTGTTTGGTTTAATTTTCTAAAAGATACTTTATATATAGAAAAAAAAAAATGTATATGAATTTTTTTTTAAACTATTTTTTGGCATGGACGAGTTCGAAAGCTGTGCAGGGAGAAGGGAAATGCACTTTACAATGGCCAGTATCATTGGACTTCAAAGGTTAAGTACAAATATATATAAATTTTGATTTTAAAAGAATTGAAATTTTTTTATCAAATAATATTATTTTATTTAATTAAAATTTAATTAAAAATTTAAAACTTTATCTTATTAAATATTGATATTTAAATTTAAAAATTAATTATATAATATAATATAATCGTTTTCTAAATTTATATATCAATATTTAATAATGTGAATTTTTAAATTTTAAATTAGATTTTTATTTCTAAATATAAGAAGTAAAGTAGATTTTTGAATTTTGAATTTAATTTTAATTCAATCAAACAACATTGTTTAAGATTGAGATTCAAATTTTTTTAAGAATTATGCTTGATATCCACTATTCTTATATATATATTAGTAATCAAGTTACAAAAAAAAAAAAATTACACAGTTTAATCATGTATCCTTCTACATTCAATAATTGAGATTTATTTACATTTATTAAAGATAATTATTTCTTTCACCTAAAAGTCGTAATAAATTTTAATTATTGAAAGTAAAGAGATGATTAATTAAGATTTTGTATAAACGTAATATATAAAACTTATATATATATATTAAAAGATAAAATTTTATATAATTTAAATTATGTCAAATTCCCAATAGTATACATAAATATATTTAGCTTTTGCAATTTTAATGAGTTTTAAAATTAATTTCTCTAAATAATTTTTAAAAGTGTACATTCAATTTTGCCCAATACATTAAAAAAAAAAAAGAATAATGATAATTGGGACGATAAAATAAGACAAAAATAAAGGACGAGTATGAGTTGGCAGTTATCTCAGCAAAGTATTACTTCAAAGAGGATCCCACATGACAGACAATCAATAAATCATATCATTAATCTCGTAAAATCGTTTTATATATTCGTTTTCCATGTCATCACTCAAAAAAAATTGATTTTCTTGTACATTACACTCAAAACTTAAACCCTGACTCATATATTTCTATAACTTAGTCAAACAACACTTAAATCATCCTGTTGCCGTAACCAACCACCAAGCAAAATGCTGTCACTCTCTGTTAAAAGCCCACACAATTATAGTCTAGTGTAAATGTATAATCCATACTAACACTTCAACTCGAATAATATAGGTCTGTTTTTAGCCTTTTATCCAAAAATTAAGTTCTGACTTGCATATTCCCTCCCCATAATTAAGGCAAGCTTATTTTTATAGGCACAAACCTGGCTGCAAATCATATGTACTCACACTATATACATATACACATGTATATATATGATATTGGTATTTGTTAGTCTAATTTTAAAATTTTTTTCTTTGTAAGTTTTTAAAAATCTAATTGATAAATACTTCTATAAAGGATGATCCACAGTGGGATTGTGTTGATATGGCAATCTCTGCTTTAGAAACTACCACATCTGTCAGTTAAACACAGGTGTGTATGTGCCATGAGCGGGCACGCAGCTTTAATTTGGAATCACTGAAGGGAGGCAATTGCTGAAGTAACCGTTAATCATGTCATATAGGTTAAATGCTTAATTTGGTCCCTCAACTTTAAGAAATGAATATTTTTGGTCCCTTAACAATTTTTTGCACTTTTTTGATCCCTCAACTATACGAAATGCATTCCGTTAGTCCTTCTGTTAATTTGGGCCGTTAACTCGCTTAGGTAGCATTTTTTATATATTTTTTGATGATGTGGAGAGCAAAACTTCAAAAAGTGATGACATGAATAAAACTTTTGCCATGTCACATGCTACCTGGCGAAAACACACCAAATCCAT